CGCTCAGCTGAGAGTCAGACACACTATGGTTGGATTCTCGGCTCTACTTGCCCTAGATGTGTGACCTTAGACAAGTTCCCCAGCCTTCTTAGAGCTCCATTTGCCTCATCCATCAAATGGGGCTAAAATTCAGTGGGACAGAACAGGTGAAGGGCCCAGTGCAGTATGAACATTCAGGAACTGGCGGCTATTCTTGGTTTGAGAGAGAAAGGTGCAGAATTCCTTGAAAAGGCAGAGCAAGAGAATCCGCTCTCCCTGGAGATACCGAGGGCCCTGGGTTCAGAGGTGAACTCATCCCACCCCAGGCAAATGGCAAGACAATCTTGTGGCCAACAGCTGGAGCCCACCACTGCAGGCCCTGAGCCATGTGCCAGCCCCGCCTGTCCCAGCAAAGGGGCCTTGGGGTTGACACAGCCAGCGCCAAGCCAGATGGGGCAGCCGCCAACTTTCCAGTCAACCCAGATGTCTGCCTTTCTCAGATGAAAACTCAAAAATGTGGCCTCAATCAAAGTGGCTTTTGAGAGCCGTGTGTTCTCCATACTCTGGCAGGAGGATTGAAGAGGCTGTGAGCTGGGACCCTTTGATAAATCCCCAGGGGTCAGGAAGACATGGCTCAGGCTAAGTCCTGGGAGCTCAGCTGGGTACACATGGTCTCTAGTACTCTGAGTGAAGGGAGCAGAGGGGAACTGTGGGCCAGTCGAGACTGACTCATGGACCAGCTCTCCATGGACGAGCTCTGTGGCATTCTGGAAAAAAAAGGGATTTGCCTATGCTATACAACTAAGACCTTAAGGCCGTCCTTTTCCACGTTGGGTGGCATTCTGCTGGGAACTTCGACAGTCCAGTACAGAGACTCAAAGCCAAAAGGTGACTGAAGGGAAACCATGAAGCCACTTCCAGGCTGCTCACCCTATCACTCCCATTGCCACCTGATTTACTAGAACAGGAAACCATGAAGCCGCTCACCCTATCACTCCCATCGCCACCTGATTCGCTAGAACACCTCACTACAGATGACAAAGGCTTCCCCCAAGAAGCAGAATCCTATTTTATCAGAGGAGAAATAGGGGCTCAGAGAGGCAAAGCCACTGGGGCCAGGGATGATCTAGGACACAGAAGTCCCACCTGTCTTGCCAACCTTCCTCCAACCTGCCCTGGCAGTTTGTCTTTTCCTCCTCTGCTTCTTGTACAGAAGCTTCCTTGTCATGCCCACTTAAAGAAATGTGCCCACCCCAGCCCCAGGCTCAGGCACGAAGCAAGGTGCCTGGCATTCTGTCAATGCAAACAAGGCTCCCCAATGTCTCGTCCCTTCTCTATACAATGCCCAGCTGCACTTTCATGTATTTTCAGTGTTTATGTTGCCCTGGTCTTTGTTATTTCTTGCTCAGTGTGCTGGGATGCTTGACATTCCAGGGATTGTGCCCTGGTGCCCAGCATGCTGAGATGTTCTGAACACAATGGGGAGGCCACCATCTGGGACGGGGCGGAGTGAGGGCAAGGGCTGAGCGTTGGGTGTGTTGGGGGAGGGATATGATTGGTGTTCTGCACCCACCTGATCCACAGAGCTCTGCCCCCATGCCTACTGCCACTGGGCCCCATCCCTGTCTGAACCGAGCTCATCAGCTGTATTTGGAGCACGGTCCTTGGGCATCAGGTGGGCTGAGCTCTTGAGGCTGGCACACAGGTGGGACCAGGAGTGGAGCAAGTTGGCGGGCAGGTAGCTGCTTCAGTACAGACTCTGGCCTTTTCTTCTCCCCACCCTTCCAGCGGAGGGCTCCCCCACTCTCAGAAGTGCTTCCAAGATCTGGGGATGTGGTTGTTGTGCCTGTCAGCCCTGATTGAGGGGAACAGGCCCGGAATCCTCCATTGGCAGCGGCCAGCCCTGGCATGGACCTACAGCCTGCATCTCTGCATCCCTGATGGGTTCCAGAGCTCCGGACAGGCAGGCCCTGTGCTCCCACTCTCTGCTCCAATCCTATAAGCGGCAGATGTGACGTATAAATGAAGAATCCAGAGTGGCTCTATTTTCATTTTCACTAACGTCACTGCCACATTGGCTTAGTGAATTAGAGAGGAGATACTGACCCCAGGACCCTGTAGTGCCCTGACTGCTGACACCCGACCCAGGGGACTACATCTCAAGAGCTCACGATCATACTTGGTGGCCTAATCGAGGACACCTTAGGCCTGAAGCCTTGCCCAGGTTCCAGAAGGGGCGTAGACCTCAGCTGTGAGGAGGATCCCAGCAATGAAGTGGGATTCTGGGGAAGGCCCTTTGAAAGCCTGTTCCTCAGCTGTGCCACTCCACTCCTTTACACCCCAGCTGTTGGCAGCTCAGCCTGCCCTTCCCCTTCATTATTTCTCAGACTCCAGAGGCAACACTGTGACAGCTTCTGAGCCCCGAGACAAGGAGGAGAAACTTACTTTTTTTTTTTTTTTTTTTTTTTTTTTGAGACAGTCTTGCTCTGTACCCAGGCTGGAGAGCAGTGGCATGATCTAGGCTCACTGCAACCTCCACCTCCCGGGTTCACCTGCCTCAGCCTCCTGAGTAGCTGGGACTACAGGTGCGCACCACCATGCCTGGCTAATTTTTGTATTTTTCAGTAGAGCCGGGGTTTCACCATCTTGGCCAGGCTGGTCTTGAACTTGTGACCTCATGATCCACTCACCTCGGCCTCTTGAAGTACTGGGATTACAGGCGTGAGCCACCACACCAAGCTGGACAAGAAAATTCTAAGGCTGCTCCTGAATTGCCACTTGGATGAAACCTCACTGCTCCCACAACCTAGAAAAGCCAGCTCCCTCATAGGACAGCCCCACTGGGTTAGGAGGTCCCAGGGCAGGTCAGCACCTCGGTCAGTGCAGCGGGTACTGCATGCTCCTCAAGGGGCTGATGGAGTAAAGGGGGAGAGACCCCCACCCACTTGTCGGAATGAGCCAGCTCTTGGGAATCAAAGCCAGGGACTTTTGGAAGTCCTGGCCCGTAACCCTTCTGACATGCCTGCCTTTCTACAGGAGCGCCAGGGCCGAGCAGGGCTCAGCAAGAGCCACACTGTGCTCCAAAAAATGTTGCTCACTCTCTTGGTCTTCCCTGCATATGTAATTTCCTTGAGTTGTTAAACTCTTCCCCGCTCTTTAACTTGTCCTATCCCTAATTATTCTTCAAATCTCATACTGGATGTCATCTCCTCTGAGCAGCTTTCTCTGATCCACCAGCTTTAGCTAGGGCCCCCATCCCATAGTGTACAGATGTGCAGGTTGTACACTGCACAAAAACACCACCTCTAAGGGAATCATTGGCATCCTAGATTGGCATATTTATGAAGATGATTCCGAATGAATGGAAGGGCAGGTTTTTCTAATTTGCACGAAGGTGCTATTGGACCTATGAGGGACCTGGGTTCCATTGCCTTGACCAGACACTGCTCAAACCTATTCATTTCTGATGCCCACCAGCCATCTATGATTCCCCACTAAATTGTAAGGTTGGAGAGAAAGTATGGTTTTTACTGCCTTCTCTACTGTCTGTTCAGGGCCCGCACACCATGGCCACTTCACATGGGGGCTTGGTTAATGTGAATATTTGTTGACTGATTAGAATGTGGGATACAGAAGTTTCAAGGGTTCAACACCTGATGGGAAAGAGAAAAGAAAACAAGGAAAGAAGAAAAGTGGCAAAAACATCTCCAGTCTACAGGGGAGACCTGGACAGTTTGATGCACGTCTCCTGGTAGGGCAGTGGGTCCATTCTATTTTCCCTTTCTTGAGGGATACTTTCTAATAACAATAATGATAATGATAGTAATAGCCAGTTCATTGACCTAATACTAAGCATGTGCATCATTTCATTTAATCTCTACAGCAGCCTACAGGGCTGACACTATTACTGTCTTCATTTTACAGATCGGGACACTGACACGGAGAGAGGTTATCAGAAGAGCTGGGACTGGTTACCTATACGTGTTAGACATTTGAACCTGGGAGCTGAATGCTACCCTTTGCTACTTTGCCAAAAATTCTATCACACTGTGAAACTGTATACACTTATTTTTAATTTGGAAAATATAGTCACTGCTTCACAGCTGAGTCTGATGTGAGGAATAGCCTTGCCCCTCCCACCTTTGGGCTCCTGTCCAGCCCCCTGACAAAGCTGATGGAACTTCCACAGAAAACTGAAGTAGAAAAAAAAAAAAAACAAGAAACAAAACAACAACAACACAAAGCTGATGGACCAAGCTGACTGCTGACAGGCAAGAGAAATACACACCAGTCTCAAGCTCAGGACCAGGAAGAAGCCTAGGGGAGAAGACAGACCAAGTGAGCAGAAGCCACACTCAGGCACAGGCATCTGGTCACCCTCCTCCCAACCGTATGACTAAGACTCGGGAGAGCATCGTGAACAGGCATTCGCTCACTCCTGAAATCTCAGGCCTTGGCACATAAAGGCACCCAGTGAGTATTTTTTGAATGAATGAATGAATGAATGAATAAATAAATAAACACGTTAGGTTTTTCCCATCATCCAAAAGAGGGCAAGGAACTAGGGTTCCCATATCCCAAGGATGAGGACATCTAGGATAGACATTCAACCCTAATTCAAAGAGGAGGAGGCTAGAACAGGAGCTAAGGAGGTAAAGAGGAGGCCTGGGGCCCCACCAGGGAGAGAATAAGGAAAACACTGGGTCACCGAATCAAGAACTCTGGGACCCTGGCATCTGGGCAGGGGTATGTAGAGGAGCACTGAATGAAATCCCTTAAATCTGAGCAAGATTCTCGGCAAGAGGGAGCAGGCCCTTGCAGGCAATCAGATGGAGCAGGCAGGCCAGACTGTACCAGCAGAGGGCTGCCAGGAGCCTCAGTGCCAGCCAGAAACACCTTCAATGTGTGTCTGGGAAGTCTGCAGTTTACCAGCCTGTTCTATAGGCTTGGACCCTGGCAGCAGAGGCCAGACCCTGGGAGGGCTTCCCCCACAACTCTTGACCTTGGTCCCCAGCACTCACCTGGTCTGGGTGGGCATGGGGCACACAAAGTCACTCCCCAGAAGGCTCCCACACTGCCACAACAGTCCTCTTGGGTAGTCAGCTCCAGCAGAGGGTTGGCACACTGGAAGAGAGGCCATGGCCACCTGTGAACACCTGACCACCCTGTTCCCTCCCAGGCTGCGCACACATGTCCCGGGAAAACCTAGGACACAGAACTCACTCCCCACATTCTGCCTGAGGATGTCCCCAGCCAAAGAAGGGGAGAAGGGAGTCAGACCATATCCCAGAAGGAGGCAAAGACTGCTGTGCACGCTCACAGACCTGAACCTTGTGTGTGGATGGGATATCCCTAGACACAAGATGTATAGGGCTGCAAACCACCACCCTCCATGGCCCCAGCCACAGACAAAGGTCCTAAAGGAAGAGCTTCCTCTGTTGACCTCCAGGGAACCCAAAGGTCACTCACAGTGTGAGCCTTCGTTGTGAGCAGAGCCCCAGGCTCAGGGACACCCCAAGCTGAGAGGCCAAGGATGATCTGAGAATTCAGGTTGTTTGCCCCTTGGCTGCCCCACCTCATCCAGTTCCCTAACCTCAGAAGGGGTTTCTGGAAACTAAGGGGTTTCCTGGCAACCCCAAGAAAAACCATACTGGGTCTGGTCTAACCCCTATTCTTGGGTGGCTGGCCTCAGAGAAGCTTCCCTGATTTCCCATTATGAGCTGAGGATGGCTCCAGGGGGAATGGGGTATCTCTCATCTTTGTACCAGCAGAGCTTTGGGGTTAACCTCCATTTGCTAATTTCATACCTCTATGACCCCAATTGTGGTCTCAACTGGTTACAAAGCTCCTGGCCAGATCCTAACAGCCCACTGGTCCATGTGCCAGGGGTCATAGAATCAAAACTCTAGGCTGCCTTCACCTAAGGATGCTGGTGACAGTTCCTCCAGAGGGGAACTTCCTTGGGTCCTCTTCTGTATGCCTGGTATTGACAGGCACCAAGTGGAGCTCAGGAAGGAGGCCCAGCTTCTCCATACATGGGCAATTTCATGCCTCGGGTTTTCCCATTTGGGAAATGGGAGACTCTGCAGATACTCACATTCCATAAGAACAAAGAGGACAGAGAGGAGGAAAAGGGCAGACTGGGGACAGTTGCTGTCCTGGAAGCATCCAGGGCTGAGGCCAGAGCTGTGTCCTCACCTGTCCGTTCACAGTGTTCAGGTAACACCGGCCCAGCAGTCCTCGAGGCCTGGGTGCTGCTGGGGGCCGTGGCCGGGGGGGCTCTCCAGACCGCACAGGGATGCTGTTGCTGTCCCAGAGGCTGTGGCCAGGGCTGGCAGGCAGCCGGGGCGGGGGTCTGGTCTCCACGCTGTTCTCCTCTAGGGCCTCCTCTGCCCCGCCCCGCACCCGGGCCACCTGGTGGATCTGCACTGAAGCCTCAGGCGGGTGGTGAATGTGCACCTTCACCAGGGAGGGGTTCACGGAGGCTGGGCACAGGGGCTGGGGTCAGAGCCAGGGAAGCAGGGCCCCACTCTCGTTTTCCAACCCTCTGAAGGGTCTCTACCAGCCCTGGGCCAGGCAGGCCACTGGCTATGTGTCACCCCAAAACTCTCCATTTCTTTGCTCCCAAGTTAGAGCCCCAGAATGATCCCTTGTGGGACGGGATGAAGTGCAAACTCCATCACTGAAGAAGCCTCATCATCATGTTCCCAGCTACCTTTCTGATTCCACCTCCCCCATGACCCTGGCCAACCCTGGAGTTTTAGCCCCATGGCTCCTGCATGGGCCACCTCCATGGCTCTGCTCATGCCAGTCCCTCCTTAACCAGATGCTACCCATTGTTTAAGGCCTAACTGTGGTCCATCCCCTCCATGCAGCTGTCCCAGGCACTCTGGCACTCTCCGTCCCCTGATCTCCTAAAACATTCTGTAGTTTTTTGGCACCTAATACTGGAAGGCAGGGGAAATGAAATGTTTGATGCTGATATTCTATTTCCCATCCGTTCTCCCTCTATTACCCACGCCCATGGGTTCCTTGAGGACAGCTCCCTGCCCTTACACTGTTTTGCCTTCCCCAAGGTACCCAGCATAGGGAGAGGGCAAAAACAAGTGGATGAATTTCAATGGGAGAGGGCCGAGTTTAGGGAATGAAACTCAGCGCTGAGGGCCAGGAGAAAGACGGGGGTTTGATAGTAAAGGAAGGACTGCAGGCAGTTTCCCTGTCCTTGCACAGCAACTGTGACAGCCTCCACCCAACTGGCATTCCTCCCAGGGTCCCGCTGGCCTGGCGGTGCTGGCACTCACCCAGCTGGTTGGAGAGCGGCAGTGTGAAGGTGGACTGCCTCAAGGGGGCTTCCAGCAGGGCTCTGGGGCGGGAGCCCCTCCCTGGAGGCTCCCTGTCTGGCTGCGGGACAGGCAGGTGGCAGAACTTCCCGGTGGAGTTGGTGGGGCACCAGCACTCGTCCCTGCCGATGCAGCGGCCTCCATTCAGGCAGGGGATCTGGCAGAAATCTGCAACGTCAAGGTAACCAGCGGTGGAAGAACAACAGCGCCCACTCTGTGGCTTGTGACCACCACAGAGAAACAGGCAGCAGAACCCTGATCCTACATGGCTTCTGTAGCCCAGAGGCCCCTGAAATGCAGGGACTTTCCACTGCATTGATGTAGTGAAGAAGGGTAGATAATAACCAGCTCCTGCCTTCCCAAAAAGCTCATTTAAGCCTTTCCCTGCACCCCACAATAACCTGGGAGATGGGGCAGTGGTATTATCATGAACTCTGTCTCTTCTCTGTTGAGGAAACTTGGGCTCAGAGAGGTTATGTGACTCCGAGAGTCACACAGCTAGGCTGCTGAGTGAGGACTCAGCTCCCCATGTGATTTCGGACAACTTGAGGAGCCACAGTTTGGGAGCAGCAGGCTCCAGTCCAAGACAGGCCTGGCTCTCTGGCCATCCACCCTCCAGGGCCAGCTGGGAACCATCTGAGCGGGAAAGGCACTCACAGATGCGGAAGCCAGACTTGGGGTCGTGCCCATGGCCGCCCTGGCTGTACAGGGTGGTGGTGTCGCCCCTCTCGCAGCTGTTGGCACAGTGTCCGTGGGCACAGGTCTGCTTGCAGATGGTGGGAGTGAAGACGATCTTGATCTTTTTTATTTTCTCCGTGAGGTTCAGCCCTGCAGAGAGAGGGCTTGGGTCCAGGGGGCAGGGCTGAGAGGCACAGCTATGATTTCCAGAGGCTGGTTAGAAAGGCCCACAGGACCCGGGCTGCATTCATGCCAAGAGAGTTTACAGTGTCTCATCGTAGGGGCAGGGTGATACCTTTGAGACTGAGAAGCTTGCAGATGTGCCAGCCACCAAGCTCACACTTCACACACATCAACCCTCTTGAATAGTAGTAGGTTAGGTTGAACCATTAGAAATTGCCATTTTTGTAGGTTCCTATGGCTGAGTGTTGGCATTTTTCATATATCCAACCTACTATGTCCATTTTATAGCTAAGAAAACAGGCCCAGAGAAGTTTAGGTGCCCAAGTGACCCAGCTAGCAAGTGATGCGGTTGGACTTTGAACCCAAAGTCAGGGAACAGAATGCGGCTCAGGCTTGCCAGAGAGGAGAGTTCTCTAAGAGAAGAGAAGATGATAAAGCTTGAAGGAAGGATTAGAGTCAGGTTTGGAGGGGATCTGATTACCAGGACAAGGATCAGGCACTTTCCTTGGTGGGTGACTTTCAGTAAGACATCATCCTAGCTGTGATGTGCAGGGGCACCTGGAGGCAGCATGAACACCTGGGAGGTCATGGCAGCAGTGCAAACTGAGGTCACTTCATTTACTAAGAGTGGTGGCAATGGGATTGGGGTATTAATTCAGTATGGGGAGCCCAGGGACGGAAGCCAGAGGCAGAGGGGTGAGGGTGAAGTGGGAGGGGGGGAAGTTGAAAAATACATGTTGACCATGGGTTCGAGAAGCTGGACTGTAAACGGAGGAGATGGAGAGGGAGAGGGAGCAAGAAGGAAGCAGAGGAACAAGAGAGAGAGAGAGAGAGAGAGAGTGTGTGTGTGTGTGTGTGTGTGTGTGTGAGTGTGTGTGTGAGAGAGTGTGTGTGTGTGTGAGAGTGTGTGTGTGTGTGAGAGAGAGAGAGAGAGTGTGTGTGTGTGTGTGTGAGAGAGAGAGAGAGAGTGTGTGAATGAGAGAGCTGGAAGCAATTGTACATGCTGAAGGGAAAGAGCTGAGAGGGAGGGACAGGGTGAAGATACAGAAGTTGGGGGACAAGTGATGCCAGCATTCCAGAGGAAATGAGAAAGGGTGCCAGGGTGTGCCTTAGACAAGAGAGACACCTCCCCCTCAAGATGGCATGAAAGGAATCATCAACCATGAAAAGGAATGAAGCACGGATACATGCTGCCGCAAGGATAAACCTCGGAAACATTATGCTAAGCCAGGCACAGGGACTCACACCTGCAATCTTTGGGAGGCTGAGGCAGGAGGATCACTTGAGGGCCAGGAGTTTCAGACCAGCCTGGGCAACATGGCAAGACCCTATCTCTACAAAAAATTTTAAAATTAGCCAGGCATAGTGGTGCATGCCTGTAGTCCCAGCTACTCCGGAGCCTGAGGCAGGAGGATCACTTGAGCTCAGGAGTTTGAGGTTACAGTGAGCTGTGATCATGCCACCATACTCCAGCCTGGGCCACAGAGCAAGACTCTGTAGAAAAGAGAAGAACAGAGAAGAGGAGGGGAGGGGAGGGAAAACGTAATGCTAAGTAAAAGAAGACAGACACAAAAGATGGCACACTGGATGACTCCATTCAAGTGAAATATTGAGGATATGCAAATCTATAGAGACCGGAAGTTGATGAGTGGTTGCCAGGGATAGGAGGGGGAGATAAGGAGTGACTCCTGCTTTAATGGGTACAAAGTCTCTATGTGGAGTGATAAAAATGCTGTGGAATCAAATAGTGGCGAAGGTTGCATAAAATTATGAATATACTAAGAGCCACTGAAGTGTAGCCTTTAAAATGGTTAATTTTATGTGAATTCCACTTCAATTTTTAAAATGGAAAAAATGGAAGGAGGTGAGCTCAGGCACAGACGTAGACAAGGAAGTGTGGCAGATGGACAGGAAGTTGGGGAGCTCTCTGAGGTGGGGGCATGTCTGTGGGCTGATGGATGGGGCCTCAGGAAAGGAGGGGAGGAGAGGGGAGGCCTGGAGTAGCTGCTCTGAGAAATAGAGGGAGAGAATGTCCAGGCACACAGGGAAGGGTTGTCAGGCAACAACAGAGAATGAGTCATGGCGCGAATCCAGAGATTGTTTTCTGCTGTGGGAAGCAGAGGTGCAGCTGTAGGTGCTGAGGAAACAGCTGGTTGGGTTGATCCAGGAGGGTTGGGGTTTGCAGGAAGGATGAGGTAGAAGGACCAGGACCCAGGAGTTGTTCATGGTGGGATATGAGGGAAGCAAAGGCAGGAGGGGATGGTAGATTGGGCAGAAATAGAGCAGTCCAGGTCTAGGGGTTGCAACAGGGGCAAAGTCCAGGTCTGCTGATTCGGGACCCCTGGAGCCCGAGACAAAGCAGGTGCTCAAAAAGTGTTTGTTGATTGGCTGAAAGAATGAGGGGCAAGGTGACAACTCAACCCCTCTGTGAGAGGGGAGGGGAAAGCTGAGGTGGAAGAAGAGAGATCTAGAGGTCCTACTCTTCTAGGACCCAGGGCAGGGCATCCTTACCCCAGGGGGATGAGGGGTGCTCCACAGGGACTGCCTGCTGGGTGCCATCCCTCTGCTCCAGGCCTGGTCCCGAGGGCAGGGCATTGGAAGAGAGCTGGCCATTGGCTGTGGCAGTCGGGTGAAGTCGGACACTGCGGGACAACCCCACGTGGTGATGGGAAGGGCGGGTCTGGCTGAGGTTACTCAGGGTCCTGTGGAGACAACCCCAGCCCGGGAGTTTGCATCCCGGGAACAGTGTGTGCCACCCCTCATCCAGCTACCCACCCAGCTTTGACACAAGAAGAATGCTCTCTGGCTGCCTTCTTACCCATGTGTGGTTGACTCCCAGACATGAAGGTACCCCAAGGCAGAAGGATTGATCTAAGGCCCGCCGGCTAGTTTTGTAGAAATACCAACCTCTATGTGAAACTGCCAGGCTTTTGCTGGGTTATTCCAGGCAAGTCACTTAGTCTCTCTGGGCCTCAGGACCCTTGACTGCAAAATGGGGATCTTAGATGGTCCTCACATAGCTGTGACATTCCAAGAGTCTTTGAGAACCCACCATGGACCAGCCCCTGCCCTAAGACCAAATCCTGGCCCCACCCCCTACCACTTCTTAATATATCCCTTAATATGAATGACCTGTAGAATAGCATCTGACAAACACATCTTCACAGATTCAGGGCAGAGCCTAGAATCTCCCTCTCGTTTATTTTTATTGTAAGAATAATAGAACAACAATATTCAAGAAGAAAACATGAATTCGTCATCTCCCGTCCCAACACAGCAAATACTTCTGCATATTTTTTTTAACCTGTGCTCATGTATATGACTTTACACTATCGTCATCACCTAGAGATACAATTTTAAATTCCGGGTTTTCACTTAACATTAGATCACTCGTTGCACAATTCAACTTTTCATATCTGTCATGTTCATCGCTACATGATAGTCCATCTAAAGATGAATCACAACTTATTTAGATATTCACCTGTTACATATTTAGATTTTTTTAAAAAGGTTTTTTTATTCTGTTTCTGAGAGGGACTTTTGCTCTTGTCCAGGCTGGAGTGCAATGGCGTGATCTCAGCTCACTGCAGCCTCCAACTCCTGGGTTCAAGCAATTCTCTTGCCTCAGCCTCCCCAATAGCTGGGATTACAGAAGCCTGCCACCACTCCTGGCTAATTTGTATTTTTAGTAGAGACAGGGTTTTTCCATGTTGGCCAGGCTGGTCTCAAACTCCTGACCTCAGGTGATCCATTCACCTTGACCTCCCAAAGTGCTGGGCTTACAGGTGGGAGCCATTGCACCTGGCCTGTGTCTAAGTTTTAAATGTGTACATCCTTACCTATATGACTTTGTCTTCTGTCAATATTCCTTTAGTACAGGGGGATTTGTTGTACTATTCTATTTTTTATGTTTGAAAAAATGTTATAGGAAACATTCTGAAAGGATTAAAATGTTAGAATGAGGCTGGGTGAGGTGGCCCATGCCTGTAATCCCAATTACTTTGGGAGGCTGAGGCAGGCAGATCACTTTAGTCCAGGAGTTTGAGATCAGCCTGGTCAACAGGGTGAAACTTCATCACTACTAAAAATACAAAAATTAGCCAGGTGTGGTGATGCACGCCTGTATTCCCAGTTACTTGGAAGGCTGAGGCTGAGAATCGTTTGAACCTGAGAAGTGGAAGATGCAGTGAGCTGAGATCACGCCACTGAACTCCAGCCTGGGCAACAAAGCGAGACTCCGTCTCAAAAAAGCAAAACAAAACAAAAACTTCAAATGAATTCCTGGGGCTAGAACGACTGTATCAAAGGTTACAAACATTGATGTCTGTAGGCACACACTGGTGTATTGCCTTCTGAAAGGCTTGTATCCAAATGTATGAACGAACCACTTAGACCACGACCTTGCCAGCATAGCATATTATTCATTCTTAATACTTTGCTCACTTTGAAGAAGCATAAAGTGGTACTTCAATGTTCCTTTTACCTCCCCCGCTCCTTTAAACGTTATTTTTGAGGTTGAAGTATTTCGGGTATTTATTTACCACTTGTGAAAATCCTCCGCTCACGTCCTTTGACATTTTAACTGTTTGAATTGTCTCATACATTTGAGCACATTCTCTTTATGTTTAGTATTGGGCAGGCTGTTCTAAAAGGCAGCCTCTGTTGTAAATACTCTGTCATTGTCACAATGTCTATGAACCACTGTGTATATGACAGTGTTGCAGACATCAAAGCTGAGAGGGGCTCAGTCCTGCCCAAGGTTACACAAGAGGTTAAGTTGGGACACCAGGATGCCGACTCAGGGCGGCCTGATCTACAGCCTGTGTTCTGTGCCACCCGATAACCAGCCCAGACTCCAGTGGGAGCTCAGCCTGGAGGCCTCTGCTCAGGCGTCGGGGGCATCCCTTCCCCCAGTAGGTCCTATGCCTAGCCTCCCCACTGGATTCCTGGCCAAGTGGGATAAGGTCCTGGGATTCTCTTCCTCTTCCATCTCCACCCTTGTTCTGTCAGCCCTCAGGGCCAGGCCTTGAGCAAACTCCTTACGCTTTCCTGGCAGAAGGCAAACTAGGACTAGCCTGGCGTGGTGGTTCATGCCTATTACCCCAGCACTTTGGAAGGCCAAGGTGGGTGGATCAGCTGAGGTCAGGAGTTCGAGACCAGTCTGACCAACAGAGTGAAACCCCATCAAAAAATACAAAGATTAGCTGGGCTTGGTGGCACATGCCTGTAATCCCAGCTACAGGGGAGGGTGAGGCACTAGAATTGCTTGAACTTGGGAGGTGGAGGTTGCAGTGAGCCAAGATCATGCCATTGCACTCCAGCCTGGATGACAGAGCGAGACTCAGTCTCAAAAAAATAATAAAATAAAAAAATAAAGCACACTCCTTCCAAGGGCTTCCAAGAAAGCACCTGGGAGAGCGAGGTGGGTGAGCTACAGGCTCACTGGGAGCCTCGTCCTGGGTACCAGCCTGGTGCCATGCTCAGGTTAGTGCCAGGGCCACAGAGAATCCCAGAGAGGTGAAAGGAATAGCTCATGTTCTACCCAGACCACTACCACTTTTCTGAACTTGACCCTGACAAAGAGCTCTCCAGTCTGGTCAGGATGGAAACTCAAAGGGTTCTTTCTTGATGATTTGTTGTCATTGTTATGTTATTGCTGCTGTCAGGTTTTTCTCTAATTGGTGCTCAGTGCTCATAGCACCAAGATCTCAGGGTTCAAATCCCTTAAGGGCCAGTTGGGTAGTTTTGCAGAGAAGAAAACCAAATAAGCAAACCATGTGTTCCCTAGTGATAGACAGGATCTGGCTGTACGGAGGAGAGAGGCTGGGATCTGGGCCAGGCAGGTGTCAGTTCTGCCTCTTACTAGCAGCATGACCTTAAGCAAGTCACTTAGCTCCCCCAAGCCTCAGAATCCTCATCACTGAAACAAGAAGAGCAATGCCCACCTCTTATGGCTGTTGTGAGGACGAAGAGAACAGTAAGACCATGCAATTATTTTACAAATACAAGTACATGGTCAATGTAGAAAAAAGATGCCAGGATTTTAAAACTGCAGGAACAAGGAGGAGAAAAGGAGTTAGCTACGGTTTGGACGAAATACATCTCCCGAAGCAAATAAGAAAATGTGACTGCGCCACTTAAAATTCTTCTTTAAGGGAAATAAAAAGACTCCAGAAAAAAGGTGTTATTGCTGTCCAAGTGTCCTTATACAGGGCCAAGTGCTTAATCTGATGCTAAACACGTTTTTAGCAATTGGAGTCTTCTGAGCCCAATTCATTGTCATCTACTGCTGTAATAAGGATTTGGGGTTAAATGACCGAAATCAAAAGTCCTGTGTTCTGAGAGGCGTGTATTGGAGTTAAAAGGAGGAAGTTTCCAGTTCTTTGATAGGTCCTGCCTTTTATTCCTAAAGCATCCATATAAGGAGGTTCATATCTCCCTTTCTAAATCCCAGCCTAGTCCTCAGAGGTGAGCAGGAGAGAGGCTCTCCCTGTGTGGAGGGCTGCAGGCTCTTGGCTCAGCTCTGGCTCCCTAATGGTCTCCCAAGTTCACTCTGCTATCACCACATAGAAGGGCACAGGCAGCCAGGATGGGATGGAGACTGTGAGCTGTGGAGTTTGTAAACCCCACTGTCTAGCCTTGTGTTATCTTTGCACTCATTTCCTTCAAGCAAATCGCAAGCCTTTAGCCAAATCCTGTTTGCATGTCCCTTCCTAGCCTCAGTTAGGTTGTGGGACATCAGGAGAATGGTCTGGTGCCATGTTTGCCCCAGGCTGGTCCAAAGAAGCAGTATCCCCCGATTAAGGACAGCAGAGGTAGGTGGGAACAGAAGAAGGCAAGAGTCTTAATGAAAAGGTGACCACAGCCCGCAGGAGAGGCTCCATCACTATTAGCCTTGGAAGAACCACTGCAGTTTCATCAAAGGACAGAGTTTACCAAACTCACCCAGCACAAGAATGGAACTTGATATTTTTCTGGGATTGTTTCAGGGAAGTCCTGGCAAGCCTCCACAATGGACCAAAACAGCCATCTCTAGACTTCAGGATTTCACGAATCAGTAAAATTTTGGAATAAATTTGGGGGAACAACATAAAGTTGCTAACCTTTTATTTAGGTTGCTGAGACTTTAAGACAGACAGACACACATACACACACACACGAACACACACACACCTGCGAACCATTACCACCATAATTTCATGAAAGAAAAGACATTTCAGAGCCAAAAGGAAATGTTTGAATAAGCCTAACTTTATGGAAATCTCACCAAATGACTTTATTTTCTTCATTTCTTTATGGACCATGAGATCCCCATCACAGGCCAGCACAGAGCCAAGAGGCAGCCACCAGGTCCACCACGGTCTGCTCTCACTGTGGACTCTGGGCTCTTTCAACCAAGATGAAGAATTCCCATCCCAGTGGCTGGGGTCTTCAGACCCACGTGAAAACTGCCTGGGCAGTTTGCACCCAAAATGATGCCACTTAGTTAAATGTTCAAGGTGTGCCCACACCCTGCCCGACACCTAGGGTTTCCAAACAGCAATGGGAAGACAAGTGGGCGAGGAGCTCTGTGCCCTCCACCCCATTCGCCCTCAGCCTAGTCTGGCAGCTCTCCTCTATTAACTTCATAAATTGGGCTTCCAAAAACAGCTGGCCCTTCAGACTCACAGGTTCTGCATCCGCAGATTCAACCGACTGTGGA